CATCAATGGAGAGCTTATTTATTCAGCTTTCAGATTATGTATACGCCTCAATTTAAAAAAATGTACCCCTTTGACTGGTTTTGTGCTCCAGGGACACAAATGAATATATCGAGTGAAAGGGAGAGGGAGAAAAAAAATGAAATGTCAATTGGTTTTTAATGTTTTTTTTAAATGTTTGTCTTGCTAAACACACTAAACAACACAAGCTAGAATGTTAGTTCCAGGCCTCTTTAAACTGGTTTTGTGAAACTCAGGACATGATAGCCCTGCGTGGGCAGATGATGGGCACCATGACGGTGGATGTGAAGGAGATCGAGAGCACGGATCTGTCTCGAGTGCTGGCTGAGATGCGCTCCGAGTACGAGATGGCCATCGAGAAGAACCGCCGGGAGGCCGAGAACTGGTACACCAAACAGGTACAAACAGCACAGCGCTCAGTCTGGACATCTCAGCAACTCTGTTGCAAGTTGAGCTATTTTTAAAAATAATTTGGCAACTTTTAGCAACTTTTTAAAAGTGAATAAAATGATAAAAAGGCATAGATTTTCCCTCTAAATTACACAAAAGCCAGCCTGTAGACAGTTGGAGAGAAGTGCCTAGCAGTAATAGTTAAATAATATTTCTTCATTTAAGATACCCATTGTTATTAGTACAATGATGCGGTTTTGCGTCCTCGTTACATAATGACGTCATCATCACCCAATGACATCACAAGATCCTGTAGCAACTTTTAGCAACAAATCAACCTGCTTTTAGCAACATTGTCAACACTGAGGCTGCTGCTGCTGTGGTTCAGGTGGAGAAGAAGCAGGTGGAGGTGGAGCTGATCACAGAGACCACCGTCAGCGGCAGCTCCGAGATCACCAGCAACCACAAACAGAGCCTGAGTCTGCAGACGCAGCTGGACACCGTGCTGATGGAGGTAAAAACATGTTAAGTTATGTCCTGTTTTAAAAACACTTTTTCTTGGTTATGTGAATGTTAGTTTTGAACGTCTCCTTTTCGCAGAGTATGTCTTTATAAGGCATCATTCCCTCCTGACATGAAGATATGCAAAAATAATTAATAACTAAGAAAAATTATGGTTTTGGCCAAATCCTACAACAGCATCGCATGTATCCTTACAGAAAAAATCCCAGAATGCACTGCATGCGGAAAATTCAAAGAAGAAAAAAAAAGAATCCAAAATGAATGAAAAAGTCAGTTATAAACACGTTTCAATTTTAAACGTTAAAAATATAATATAATATAAATAGCTTTATTTGCAGTCACTTT